TTCACTTCCGGAGACAGTTGTATGCACTGTGTAACTGCCTCGAGGGTGCCTGACCATTTTAACACAACGCGGTGTGATCATCCCCCTTGCGCGGAGTGAGGGTTCTCCACCCCGCACACTATGATCTACTCGGCCACCATTATGGTTACCGCAAAAAAAAAAACCGGAGGTAAAAAAAAAAAACCCGGTAACCTGGTTGCCGAGTTCACGAAGTGAATTGGCTTGTTTTACAACGTCGTTGCCAAGCGACGAAAACCCAACCCCGACGGCAAACACCGGGGGAGGGGGGAGACATTAGGAAATTTACTATGAATTATCGAGGCCCACGCTCACCCAGTCGTGGTACAGGAACATACGGAAACAACCAGCCTAGCTTGCGTGTACCGCCTCATCTCTACGAAATAGAGTATCGACCAAAGCTCCAAATGAGCGAAACAACTCAGCTACCGACACAATATTTTTGGAACTGGTCATTAATGACCAAGTGTTGGTAACCATCCGTCGAACCGACCACCTGCCGTGCAAACTTGCCCTTGTCGTTTCTGCCACTGCACAACAGGAAGATAGTCTCGAAAATCTACACGTCGCCTTGGTCTTGAAGGGTTACGTTTGACTTGATTTATCGACCCCGCTTACTCCTGCGAACCCCTACTTCCGAGGCATCGCGCGGTGTCTCGCTGCGGTTTCTGCTAGCCACTCGCCTCTTACGTTTGCCTTCCACCTCGCCTGCCCGTCCTTCTTCCTCTTTTTCTTTTTCTTCTTCGTCGCCGTCGTCGTCGTTCGTCGTCGTCGATATCCGTCTTCGTCGACGTCGTCATCGTTGTCGTTGTTGTTGTCGTTGTCGTTGTCGTTGTCGTCCTCGTCGTCGCCGCCCTGGCCCTCGTCCTCATCCTCGCCGCCTTCTTCCTCGTCGTCATCCTCCTCTTCCTCCTCCTCTTCCTCCTCGCCCATGCCCTCCAAGGACCGGGTGCCAGTCATCTTACGGCCAGATGCGCCGTTCCCTTCCGTGCCCCCAAGCGTGCCAGGGGGCGGACTTCGTTTCCCTGACCACGTCGGCAAGGCTTCCCGGCGAGTACCTTCGGCTTCCCGCCATCAATTCTTCGCTGACCTCTCGGTCATACGTGCGACTGGCGCGCCAGCGGCTGCTCCTAGATGATCATTGGGGTAGCACGACAAGATTGCGAACACGGACGGACCTGGGGTGTGCGGGGTGTCTGCCATCTCTCGGCGGTCTCCACAGCTCCACAGCGTCAGCAGCGCCAGCGGCGATGCACACAGCGAGAGCCCCACGACAAGCGCCGACGCCTCGGCGTAACGCCCGGGGATACATGGGTATATGTACCCGCCCACCCCCCAAAATGACCCCCGCCCCCGCCCCCCCAAGGGGGATGATCACACCACGTTGTGTTTAAATGGTCACGCATCCTCGAGGCAGTCACACAATGCGTACAACTGTCTCTGGAAGTGAACGCGCCAGAAAATATATTAAGTCATACGCAGCTGTCATCCTTACGCAGGGAAGTAAACACAAGATGCCGAACACCCTCAGCAGGATGCAGCGCACCCTTCATGCGACTCGCGGAATACCTCACGGCGCTTCGCGCTTGGTGATGTGAGAGCCTGGTCCGGTGAGGACCCGGCGTGCTCCGTCCCGGCTTTGTAGGGATGCGAGGTCACTGGTCTAACGACTACGGCATCCACGACAATGAGTATGAGTATGAGTACGCCCCCCCCCGCCCTCCTGGTGTTTGCCATCGGGGTTGGGTTTTCGTCGCTTGGCAGCGATGTCGTAAAACAAACCGATCACTTCTTGAGCTCGGCAACCAGGATACCGTTTTCTTTTTTGCCTTTGTTTTCTTTTGTGCGGTAGTCTAACCATGAACGGTGGTCGAGTAGACTACGTCTTGCGGGGTCGAGAACCCTCACTCCGCGCAAAGGGGATGATCGCACCACATTGTGTTAAATTGGTCGAGTACTCTCGAGGCAGTTACCCAGTGCTTACAGCTGTCTCTGAAAGTGAAAGCACCAGGAAATGAATTAATCCATACGCCGCCGTTATCCGTACGCAGCGAACTAAGCACAAGTTGCCGAACACCCTTAGCAGGTTGCAGCGCACCCTTCATGCGGCAGCACAACCTTCATGCGACTCGCCGAATACCTCAAGGCGCTTCGCGCTTGGTGATGTGAGAGCCTGGTCCGGTGAGCATCCGTCGTGTGCTCCGTCCCAGCTTTGAAGGGATGCGAGGTCAATGGTCTGACGACGACGGCATGCACGACTTTGAGTACCGCCCCCCTCCCCCCCCCCACGGACCCCGACTCGCGATTAGTAGGCCTATGTGTCTTGAATTGTTTTTCGCGCACACCCTTGATGCGAATAAAAATGACAGACAAAAACATAGACTTTTGGTCGACAGAGACTCGAGCTCTATCTACCGAGCTTGGGAATTCATCCCATACTGACTGTACTTGATTTCTGGGGCGTGATTGACAGTATTGTAGGTGCCGCAATTCTACATTTTGCGTGATGCTCGCGGTTTACTGACTGCCTTAATCCGAGCATCTTTTCTCATCTGCCAAGTTCTTATTGTGACCAGGAGCGTTATGGAGGAAAAGAGAAATAAAACAGGGAATGGAGCTTGCTCCTGGCTTCGGGTACTCACAGTTGTTGTTTGATCTCTTGTTTTAACCTTCTCAGACCAGGTCCGCTCAGCGCCCACTCGGAGAGTGAGGGAGCGGGGCTGGGATTTCGATCTTCACTCAAGCTACTTCAATACCCCCGAACGACTCCAAATGTCCACATCAAACGAAAATTCAAAATATCCAATAAGCGCACATACAACGTTGTTCATGAAAAGCTCATACAATGCCCATACACAATTTAGTTGCTCCATTGCATTAGCCCGTCCTGGNCTTGCTCCTGGCTTCGGGTACTCACAGTTGTTGTTTGATCTCTTGTTTTAACCTTCTCAGACCAGGTCCGCTCAGCGCCCACTCGGAGAGTGAGGGAGCGGGGCTGGGATTTCGATCTTCACTCAAGCTACTTCAATACCCCCGAACGACTCCAAATGTCCACATCAAACGAAAATTCAAAATATCCAATAAGCGCACATACAACGTTGTTCATGAAAAGCTCATACAATGCCCATACACAATTTAGTTGCTCCATTGCATTAGCCCGTCCTGGGAAGTCGTAGATGCAGATACTTTATCTTCAATCCGATACTCAACCTCAAAATAAAAATGTCAGTGTGCATTGCCGCCCTCAGCGGTCTGTGGTGTTGAGACTGGGTGCTATGTTATCCCAGGAACAGCAGATGAAAAAGGACCATGTATTCTATACTTCCCCGTCACGCCAGCCCCTCAGGCAAGTGAGCTCGTGGGCTTTCTGTCTCTCTAGCACCAGGGGACTCCTCTTACCCCCCATATACTACATACTNGAAGTCGTAGATGCAGATACTTTATCTTCAATCCGATACTCAACCTCAAAATAAAAATGTCAGTGTGCATTGCCGCCCTCAGCGGTCTGTGGTGTTGAGACTGGGTGCTATGTTATCCCAGGAACAGCAGATGAAAAAGGACCATGTATTCTATACTTCCCCGTCACGCCAGCCCCTCAGGCAAGTGAGCTCGTGGGCTTTCTGTCTCTCTAGCACCAGGGGACTCCTCTTACCCCCCATATACTACATACTCATCCACGTAACCCCCATCAGGCGCATACAGCGCATGTAGATCGGACACATATCCAAAGTACCACAATCAGCCCCCTTGCTTGATATATATGCCGTACGATCTTCCAACATATATATATATATGCAAAAAAGCAAATAACCACTTGAGAATCATCCTCTTCAAAAACTAACCACGCATTCAACACAAAGCCACCAGTTTATTCACGAATCTAATACAGTCGCCCCTAGACATAATCTCAAGCCGTTGACACAAAATACTCATCCTCGGAAAAATACCCTACAACTGCTTGTGCTACATCAGAAAAGTGTCGGAACGAAAAACGAACATTTACGGGAAAAACTACTGCAGAGAAGTCGGTGCTAAATCGTCAAACAAAAACAAAACCTTAACTTCTTGACCAATCAGAACGAGAATTTGGAAAGCACACTGGCCCCAACCATTAACCGTTAAAACATGTCAAACCCTTCCTCCAATATATTGTCCAAAGACCATATCCTAAACAGCACGCACCCACTAATCGGTACCGCCGCTGTTGTCCAAGAAACGATTGGAAATATATGCAAACATCCACACAAACAGCCCCCCTGCTGTGACTTCCCAAGAAACTATCATTCCAAAATCATATCTTTACGCCAACAGCCCCCCTGCTGGCACATACTCCTATAAAAAAACATAAGGGAACAACAAGATATAATTGTTGCTCATGCACTCTATTATCATGGTCACACATGACATCCCCCTCCATGATTGCAGATGCACACGCAGCAAGTCAGAAACAACGCAGGAGAAAAAAACAACAACAACAAGACCTCACATCAAATAACAACAGCAAAAAATCGCAAACGACCAATATAGAAATGTTACTTGGTGTTCATCATGAAATCACGGTGGAATTAGAATGCCGCCCTGCAGTGGTTTGGTCATTAAGTCGGCGTGCTGCAAAGCCGATGCAACGTGAACCACCTCAAACTGCTTGCGTGCCACCCGCTCCCGAATGAAATGGTGTCGGATGTCTATGTGCTTAGAGTTGGGGGTGGTGACCGGGTTGTTGGCCAAATGAAGGGCCCCCATGTTATGCTCGTGAACTCTAGTGCACCCGATGCGCTCATCCGGAAAGATGAAACTCCAGAGGTAGCGCAAGAAAATCGCTTCCTTGAAACCCTCCCATCGCAACATACTCGGCTTCGGTCGAGGAAAGTGTAACACTCTTCTGCGTTCGCGACAAAAACGAGACACACGCACCCGCACACATCACGACCGCACCAGAAACCGACCGCCGGTCCGCCGCGTTACTCGCGTAGTCGGAGTCGACGAAAAGTTCCGACGAGACACCCCCCTCCGTTCCCTGTTGATACGTGATCCCAAGACCGAATGTGAACCTGACATACATCAAAACATGCAAAGCTGCACGCCAATGCACCATCTTGGGGGCGTGGGCATACCTCGCCACAGCTCGCACAGCGTTGAGGATGCCCGGGCGAGTCTGATTCGCCAGCCACATCAAGTGTCCTAACAAAGACCGAAAAGGCTCAAGAGCATCAGGCTCTGCATCGTCAAAATCCTCAAGCTTCAAGCCTATTGGCATGAGAGTCTCCTTGTTGCGTGTGGCACCGAACTTCTCTACCAAGTTCCTAGCAAACGTCTCCTGCGACAACGTAATCGTGCCGCCCGCGCGATCACGAGAAAACCGAATGCCCGCGTACCAACTCAGCTCCCCAAGGTTCTTGATCGGGACGAAAGCGTTCAAGTCTCTGCCAAACTGGTCACACCTACTCTTGGTTCCGATCGAGAAAATGTCGTCGACATGCACAACAACCACCATTGTCATCACACCAGTCTCGATCAGACGCATGGCGCAAACATTAGCAGCACACAATCAAACCCAAGTCGCTTCATTGCTCGGAGTAAACGGTAATGCCACATGCGGGACGCTTGACCGCACAGGCTACGGGCAAGCTTGACAACTTTTCCCGAGAAAGAGCCACAACCTTTCGGTAAACGAATGTACAAAATCTCTTCCAGCTTGGATTGAACGAACGCATCAAGGTGCACAAAACCCAACCAAGATGACAAGCAATAGCAGCAAGAACACGTATACCCGTAACAGACGGGCACGGTGAAAAAGTTTCAAAATAATCCACCCCTTCCCTCTGACTGAAACCCCTTGCTACCGGTCTGGCTTTGGCACGCACCACATCACCACACTCGTTGACTTTTCAAGTGTACACCCACTTCGCAGAAATGATGTTCGTCCCTGGCTGCTACGAGCCTGCCGCCGGCCCAGAAGTCTCGGCCTCGAGCAGCCCGGTAAACTCCGCCTCCTCAGCACTGTACCAGATGTCGCTGTCCTCTCCCGAGTGCGCTTCCGCCAATGGCGTCGGGGTCTGACGCTCGCTCGCTGGTCCATCCGGCAGCTGCGGCCCTCCAAAGCACTGCTCATCGTCCATTCTAGTGTCGAAGTCCTCCGCTATCGCAAGCATTGCCAACACCCCGGGCGATCGCGGCAGGGGCCCATGGTTAGCCATGCGCCGCGCCGCTGACCTCGTGACGGAGGGGGTAACCTGATGACGTTGCTGCTGGGTCTGCATGTGCGGCGCGCGCGGGGGCTGACGCAGGTCGAGCCACTCCGGTCGGGGTCGGGGTTGATGACGAAGCTGCTGCCGGGCGCGTCGCGGTTGCGGACCCAAGTGTGCACCCCACGGGCGTCGCCATCTCCTCCATCACGGCCAACGCCGCCGCCTCCGCCGTTGCCACCGCCGCTGCGGCCGTTCGAATGCCCGACGTCAACGCGGCGACCGGGGACGCCGCTGCTGCTGCCGCCGCTACCGGTCGCCCCACCGTCGCCTCCGCCGCCGCCGCCACCATTGCTTCCATCCCCGCTGCGTCCATCGGAAGGCCCGGCGCCAACGCAGCGACCGGGGACGACGCCGCTACTCCCGCTGCTGCCGTACCCCCCGCCGCCGGTGCCGCCTCCATCGCCGCCACGTTCGTCTGAAGGCCCGGCGCCTACGCCGCGACCGGGGACGCCGCTGCCGCTGCCACTGCTGCCGTGCCCCCCGTCGCCGACGCCTCCACCGTCGCCGCTGCGAGTGTCTCGCTGCCCGGTGCCAACGCGGCGACCGGGGACGCCGCTGCCGCTGCCACTGCTGCCGTGCCCCCCGCCGCCGACGCCTCCACCGTCGGTGAAGCCGCCTCCGTCGCTGTAACCACCGCCACCGCCGCCGCCACCGCCGCCGCCGCCGCCGCCGCCGCCGTGACCGCCACCGAAATGGACGGCACCCCGGCGACCAGCGGCGCCAACGTGAGCATTGCGGGCATGAACGATGAGGGGCACACGGGTGGCTTACGCGTAGTTGCCACGCTTTGTCTTGGGGAATTTGATACGACCAATTTGCATGCGAGAACCAGCGTCGAAGAGGGTGATATCGAAGGCCTCTTGCATGACATTAAATGACATCAGGTGATACGCAAGGCGGGGGACAACAGCAACGTCGTGCAGGGTGATAAAGATGCTGCGGGTGTCGCCGTTGATTCTGCTGGTGCGGCGCCTGCTGCTGGAACGGTGGCTGCGACTGCTGCCGCTGTTGGCGATAGCCCCCCTGGTGCTCTCCCTGGGATCCTCCTCCCCACCCTGGCTGCTGCTGTCCATCTCTACCATGCTGTTTACCTTGGGAAAAACCTCCGGTCCTCCGCGGCGGACCGCCACCACCGCCACCGCCGCCACCGCCGCCGTTGGGCCGCGAATTTCCGCCGAAACGAAGAGCGTGCGGGTCGCTGGTCGGCGCTGCCGCCCGTAGCGAACTATTCCCTAGGTCTTGCTCAACGCGGTGACTACGCACAAGACTCTCCAATTCCGCGCGTGTGAGCGACCGATCAGACATGAGCACCGGCTTGAGCTGGTCGTAATCGGCCGAAAGGCTTCTGCGGAGTATCGCAAGGACTTCTTGATCGGAGATTCCATCGCCGTCGAGGGCGCCCATTGTGGACAGCACTTTGTCAAACCTAATAAAGTAATCCCTTGCTTCCTCTCTGAACTGCATCCTCATGTTGGTAAGGGACAGCTTCATGGCCTCCTTCAGATTGTCACTCATCGGGAGGCAGAACTGTTGGGCAGCCTCCCACGCCCCATACACAGTCCCAACTTCCGGGATTTTGGCCTGAAAGTTTGCCCCCTTTGTGGCGCGCATCAGGTTCTCCCAAGCACACTCATGGTCACGCACGCGCTGCTCACCGTGAAAGCGGAAGTTTTCGCTCCTTGACGCGTGGATGAGCCAGATGCGTTGATCAGGACTTGCTGGCTTCGCAAGTGTGTGCCCAAGATCTTCACGGGTGAGGAAGGTCTCGAACAGCGTCTTGAACAGCGGGAAGTTGCCGTCGTACACCGGTGGCTTCCGGTCCTTACGCTGCACTCGATCACCCGGGAAAAATGTAGCCGCTCCTCCGGCGGCTCCAGCTCCAAAAGTGGCCGCCCCTCCGGCGGCTCCATCCCTGCTACAATACCCAGGCGCATAACCGGCGCCGTCCATCCCCATGTTACCTGCCGTATGCCCGGCATCACCCAACCTATCGCTAGTTGCGTCCTCCGCTAAACTCCTCTCCTCTGCCTCCTCAAGTCTCCTCTGCAGATCCGCCATCTTGGCTGCCGCGGCTGCCGCTTCCCCGGCTGCACTTTCGGCTGCACTTTCGGCTTCCTGCTTCATCTTCTCCATTTCTTCTTTTAATTCTTGCTCTCGTGCTTTCGTCATCGCTGAACCAACACCTGGCCTAGCTAGGCTCCATTCGATATCGTGTTAGTATGCACTGCCGCCCTCAGCGGTCTGTGGTGTTGAGACTGCGTGCTATGTTATCCCAGGAACAGCAGATGAAAAAGGACTATGTATTACATGTATATCCGTCACGCAAGCCCCTCAGGCAAGTGAGCTCGTGGGCTCTTTCTCTCTCTAGCACCGGGGGTCTTCTCCTACCCCCCATATACTTCATACCCATCCACGTAACCCCCATCAGGCGCATACAGCGCATGTAGATCGGACCATATCCAAAGTACCACAAACGAAAAATCGAAGATGCAACTTCCATACCAAACACAAAAAAAAAAAACAATTACAGAGTGTCAAGGGAAAATAGTTTATCCCCGACAAATACTCCAACCATCCCCAAACCACACAGTGAAGACTTCTGAGAATCACATCGCCGACGGCATCGTTCCCCTGCATGCGCTCAGCATGCACACACGGCGTGGCGCGCATGCACTTTCACTCACGAGAGGGGGTACTGTAAAGGATATGCACGCGCGGTGCAATCTGGGAGACCCGTGAAGAAGAACTCACTTGTTATTAACTCGTGTGGAACAGCAGTAGCTGTTGCCAAGGGAAGATAGACAGGATCAGCTGCTAAAGCAGGGGCTACTAGATCCTGTCCCCTGTTTTGTCCTTCCGTGGGGAGTTGCATCTCCCGCACTTTTCTCTGGGCATTGGCCCGCACTGCCGTTTGCACTTTCCTACACATTCAAATCCCATAACACTAGCCCACCCTGGAGGTTCTCATACGCAGATACTAAATCTCGGAACTTGACAATTACTTGTCAAATCCCAAATGAGAGAATCGAGGATGCGGAGCTTCAAAATACCGCAATTTACCCTCCCACACCTCTCACTCGATGGGTCGCAAGGCCATCGTTCGACCTATAAAAAAAAGGTACAGGAAGTAATAGACTGGGACTAACAGAGAGGAAACCCACGGGAGAGCCGCAACAGGCGAAGGCGACAAATACCATAACAGGTCAGAACCCAAAAGTAAGGGGAAAAGAGGACACGAAAGAAACGAACAAAATAAGCGTCGCCGGAGCGACGGAAAGGGAATGGTGACAGAAAAAGGCCTGTCTGTATCGACAAAACGATAAGACACGCCAAATAATCACCACGGTAGCGTGGGAGCGACAACAAAGGTCACGAAGCACCTTTAGCCCGCAGACTCTAAGAAGTAGAGGAAAAAATAAACGAAAAAGTACAATAGCTTCACAACGTACCAAAAAGGCTGGAAACCAAACGTGTCGGAAGCGAAACCAAGACGAAGAGGGGTCGTGACACTAAACAACAGCTGGCAAAACCTCGGCAGGGAACAGAGAAAGCTCGACTTAGCGGACTATTGAAACCAAAAGAAAGAAAACGAGAAAACGAATACAAATAATGCTATTGCAAGAGCAACAGAAGGCAAAAACAACCAAGCATGTCATCTTAATGTGGGCGCGCGACGTCATCAGACAACGAAGCGGTCACAACGTCGCCACCCGACATGTCGATGTTGCGCAGAACACCCTTGAATAGGGTGCTGCCCATGTGTACTTGGAGGCACCAGGATCCGGGAACGTCGGTTTCGACGGTAGAGTAGCGTACATCGGGAAGGGCGAGCTTGACAGGTCCAGGATCGTCCAAGAAGCCGACGACGTAGACGTCGGATGGCAGAGGTGGTCCAGAAATCTTGCCCAACCACCAGAGTCCATCTTGTGTCTTGTACCAGAAGAAGGCGCGCACCGGTGGAGGAGTGTTGGCGAAGCGACGGTCCCATGTTGAACGAGAAACAAACGAGTAGCCCGAAGGCAAGCTCGCGTACCTTGAGCACGCGCCAATTCCCTGGTAGCGGCTCCAATGCGCATCGCACGATAACGGCGATTTGTTTGGCGATGTTGGTCAGGCGAACCTGCCCAGTACCGGAGAATGTGCGGCTTGGAATGCTGCCGGTCCAACTCACGCTCCCAGGAAGGGCGCAAAAGGCCCTGCCAGTGTGCCTGATATAAAACAGGTATCGTGCCCCCACGGCCACGGACGGACTGGTGGCCACTAATGCGTTCAACCTCTAAACGTTCAACTGCAGTTGACACGTCGTCTTCCGAAACATGGCAGGGAGGGGATTTGTTCGCATAAGAGTTCCGGACATACGGAGTAAGACCAGCAGGCAGAAAGCGCGGCAGGTCATCGGTGTCATGCGGGTTGGCGCAAGGCTCGCAACGCACAAACGAAACACGAGGTTTCGAGTCTTGGCCCGGCAGGTCCGAAGGAAGATCCAAGTAAAGCAACTTGGAAGCCAAAGGACGACCGTCAGGGCTGTCAGAACATGGGCCCACAGCCAAGATATTGAAGGGGCCAGTCCAGAGTAGAGATAAATTGGCTTTGAGAACCTTATCATCTGTGCCTGAACGAACGCCTTGTCGAATAGTAGATTCGGAATTATACACCCAAACCCATCCACCAAAAGCGTAAGAAGGAAGCTTATGGGAAGCGTCCGATAAGGTGGAATTTCGCCGCTCAATCCGCGAAACGGACAGGTTATGCTGTTCACGCACCAAGTCGTAAGAACGACGTTGGCGATCAGCAGCAAGATCGCAATCTTCGAGTTGATCGCGATGCAAGCTTTGGTGGCCACGAGCGTAAGGATGCTCAAGAACAGTCAGCGGTAAACGAGGCAATCGATTCATATGCACCTCATTGCGCGCTAAACCGGTAGCGGCGCTAACGGAATTTTTGTAAGCAAACGCGACGTGTGGGAGATGAATGCCCCAATCATCTTGTCGTTCGTCGAAAACCATAGCCAACATTTGAGCCATAGTGTGGTTGACGCGCTCCACACCCCCATTTCCATTGGGATGGTACGAGCTAGTAGCCACTTTGCGGATAGCAAGATGGGCATACACGGCTTGGGACAGTTGAGAGCAAACCTGAGAGCCGTTGTCAGACAAAAGACTCAATGGGCAACCCCACAAAGAGATATACCTGTTGACAAGGATGTCAGCTGTGCCTTCGGCGGTGAATTCTGCAGCCGTAACTGCGTACATATCAGCACGGCGGCTGAAACGGTCTATAAAGAGCAGAATGTATGTGTTGCCACGCGGTGTCAACGGAAGTGGACCAAAATAGTCAACGCTCACCGACACACCGGGGCCTGAAGGCAAAGGAAGGGATATGGTAGGCCACCGAGGAGTCTGACGAGACGATTTACGAGCTTGGCATCGCAAACAATGCCGCACCCACCATTTCGTACAAACACTCATGCCAATCCACCAATAGAAACGTTCCAGCATGCTAAGCGTGCGAGCCGCACCGAGGTGACAGGACGCATCAGGTAGACTTGCATGATCCACGGACGCATGAGCATGGGAACATAAATCCGGATTGGTTCATCGTTAAGAAGGCGAGCAGCACGTCCGCCAGGACGTGCGGTCGTGGACGACGGGGTCGTTGTTTGCTTGCGAACAAGCAAGACCAAACCATCATCGTCAACATGCAACCGGCCGTTGTTGGACAGGTCACGAATCTCCGAAAGAGAGGGTCGACGAGCGGACGGAACACGGTCCAAGAAATCCGAAGGCAGAGCCGAAGGCCGACCCAGAAGGATGAAACGAATGGCTTCATCACACACAGGTTCGTTATGTTGCTCGCGAGCCCAATCAGCATGCGAGAAACGTTCGACGGACGCCCGGAAGACNAATGTAAAGCCGCCTCGATAGAAGAGGGGGCTGATTCGCGAGGCGCCGACTGCAACCCATCCGAGGATAGAGGAGCAATGGAGGCCGAAGGCGAATGCGCGCGAGTGGTTGACACCAAATGCGACAAAGACTCCGAAGATCCGGGGTCTGCAGGAGGCTGCAAAGCAGGAACAACCGCAGTTGTGGTAGGCGTCGGAGACGCAGGCTCCACCCCGTGAGCCAGAGGCGCGGAGGGAATCGAGGATAAACCACCAGCACCAGTAGTGGAAACACAACTGGGCAAGGCTGGTGTCATCGACGGCGCCTTCGTCGCCGTCGGAGACCGCCGAAACGGTCAAGAGGGAGCGGAAATCCGCGTGGGAGACAAAGAAGGCTCATCGTCAGCAAAACCATAATCAACAGGCGGGAGTGGCGTGCCTGCCACAGCTGCCTTGCGACGGCGAGTCCTGGTGGAGATCACTTGGGTGGGGTCGAGGGTCCGACGCGGGTTTCCAAGGGCGGGGATGGCAGACGGAGGCTCGGGCTCGAGAGCCAAGACATCATCGAAAGACTGAGGTAGGGAACCGGACCAAACGATGGGAGGTCGATTGCGCAATCGCGACCGCGCCGAACGGCAGAACATTTCGGACGGCAAGGGAGCGATCTTGGGCGACAAGGAAGCGACGTTCCAAATGCCCGATGAAGACGAGGGGCCTGATGACGGTAGACGCGGACCGTGCCGACGGAAATCAGCGAAGTCAGCCGTACAGGGGGCAAGCCCACCCAAGACCGAAGTCGGGGGATTAGAAACTAGCCCACCCAAGCCAATACCCGCGGCCCGATCACCGGAAGGGGTAAAGCCACACGAACGGATGAAAAACACCGCCTCTTCATCCTCAGCCGGGGTCAGACGGCTGCGACCCGAGCGCTCGCATTCAGCCGCTGCGACTGGGAGGCGTGAGAGGAAATCAGCGTTGCCAATTGCGGAACCCTTGCGATACTCGAGAGTGTAATTGTAGGCGGTAAGAAATTCCAGCCAGCGCTGAACGCGGGCATTGTTCTCCCCCACCTTAGCAAAAGGCTCGAGAGATTTGTGGTCGGTAAAAATGCGAAATTTTGTACCCCACAAGTAGCCGCGAAGGCGCTTGATACACCACACGGTGCTACCCGCCTCGAGATCGAGGGCAATCCAGTGGCGTTCTGGGCCCAAAGAAGCCCGACTGATGAAGACAACTGGGCGAATAGAACCATCTGGCTGTTCTTGTTCGAGAGTCCCACCAAACCCATCGCGACTAGCATCACAGTAAAGATGAAAAGATCGCGAGCGGTCTGAAACAGCATCCCAATCTGGATAAACCAAAACACGGGGACTGGCCAACTCAGCTAACAAAACGCGAACGGCTTGCTCCATGGAAGGGGTGAATATCTACTTCTGCTTCTTGAGTAGAGTAGTCAGAGGTCGAATGCGTTTAGCCATGTTGGGGAGGAACGTACGGTAGTAGCTGAGACCACCGTGAAGGGAACGCAGTTGCTTGACATCCCTGGGCATAGGCATTTTGGTGAGGGCCGAAACCTTGGCACCGTTAGGCCTAACGCCGTCAGGGGAGATGGTGTGTCCGAGGAAGTCTGCTTCAGTAGCGCCAAAAGTAGCTTTCGGAGGCGTGAGTTTCAAGTTGTGCGTACACAAGCGTTCAAAGAGTGCGCGCATGGTACCAACATGAGTTTCAGGGTGTCATCAAAGACGATCAAATCATCCAAGTACGATGCAACACCGTGGCGATTTTTTATGACTTCGTTGACAACTTTGCAAAACTACCCAGGGGCAGCCGAACTGCCTTGAGGCATCTTCAGCCACTCGAAAAGCCCGGAAGACGTCACGAATGCCGTCAAAGGGATTGTATCGCGGTGGACCGTGATTTGGTGGAACGAAGATTTCATGTCGAAAAGGGAATAAATTCGCCTTTTCAACAACTTGTCCAAGTATCGTCGACTCAAGGAATCGGAAGCTGACTCAAAGCACAAAGTTTGTTGAGCTTACGATAATTGATGGTGATGCGAAGACCACCAGATTTCCTCGGTATGACTACCAAAGGGCTCGAGTAAGGCGAGGTCGAATGTTGGATCAAACCTGCCGCAAGATATTGGTCAAGGATCGCGTCAACTTGTTTCGCCACTGGGGGATTAACCCGGTAGGGGCGAGACGTGACGGGTGCGCTGCCAGGAGGAACTGCTGTAAGCTTAAAAGGAAAAAGCGAACAAGATCCAAAGTCGGTCGGAGAACTCGAAAACACATCATGGTATTCGCACAAAACGTTACGAAGCTGAGTAATGACATCGGGAGTCCAACCCAGGCCGTGGAGATCAAAAGTAATCTCACGGAGATGGCAGGGGAGCTGATCTCAGACTTGGGAGAAACTTTGACGCTGTTCTGGCGTCAACCGCTCGAGAAGAGCAGGCGGAGGCGACGAAGAGGGAGAACTAGCGGAACCAAAAAGTCACCTCGGTCGCTTGGCGACGGGATGGGTCGCTCGTGTAAATAATACACAAAGGGGTCAGAGACGGAGTGCGTGGCAGACGAATCAATGCCACCCGCAGAAACAGGACCAGGGATCCAGCTGTCTGAAGCAGCGGTGGATTCTGAAGCCGCAGTTTCAAGACCATCACTCAAAACAGTGGCCGCTACAATCGCACCAGGAAGCATCCCTCGTTATCCTACTACGGCAAGGCCCGGAGTTCGATTCCTCGTGGGATGGCTCCTTCGTGACTTTGCAGTAGAAATGTGACTGTGCGTTAGAAAGCGAAGTTAGCTAAAAAGTTCTGGAGTACACAAACTTCCACTTCACCGTTGACGAGGAATGGCAAAGCTGAACCTTGACGTTTCGCGGCAATGTTCGAAGGCACGCACCGCAGGAGGAACATAGGGTAAACATAAAACACAGGGAGAAGAAAAGAGCCCCAGTGTTTACCCCGTCCCGTGTGACCGCGGCTGCTCCAGCATTCATTCACAACCAACCATCGTGCGTAGTACACTACACACCGAAAGGCGTAGCAAACCGAAAAGGTGGACAAACGCCAGCAATACACACACAATGTAGTCCCGGGGCGGCCTTGTATCACCCCTGTTCGTGGTTTCATCATGTAGCTGTGTTCCAACACACGTCCGAAGAACAGAGCACTTTGGCGGGTTCGTACAACATTGATTTCGCGCGAAAGTTCCAGGATAACAAAAATTCCGGGCTGAGAAACAAATCCTTTCTACTTGCTAGAGAGTCTTCTGGGAGAATGATTGTTCAAGACTTTTGAGTAGAAGTTTATGACAATTCCTTTCTGTCAAACTTTAGTTATTCTACTCGCGCAGAGGAAAGGCAAGTGAGGCAGTGGTGCGGGAAATGGCAGCCAAAACGTCCACTGACTGGTTCTGCGATGTAATTCGCTGCATGACATTGTATTCGGTGCTCCACAGGCGGTCAGCTCCAAGGGGAAAGCTGGAAAGGTGGAACTGACGATCGCTGCGGCGCCGTCATGTACTGCGGGCGGAGAGGTAAGGCGATGTGGTCGAACGCACACACAACAAGCGAGTGCGGAGGACGTGCATACCTCATTTACAATAATCAATGAACTGTGTGACATAGGATACCAACCCGATACTGCCGCGCGACCTGTGTGAAAGCAACCTGTTTGTAACCTCCGCAAGAGCGGTAGTCCGAGTAGGGTTCCACCGCCGCGAAAATAAAAATAAATGGGAAAGGTAGCTATACCTTCTGCCGGCACACGGGCGAGAGAGGCGACCATACCCACTGCATTCAACACACACCCACATGTCAGTGATGCAACCCCAACCACACGCCTCTATCGGCGGCCACGTCAGGAGGCAATGATGAGAAAATGTTCTCCCGTGCCCTTCTCACATTGAACGGCATGCCATTAGACTACACAACAAGGTAATTATGTTGTCCCGCGCCGCACATGCCCCAATACATCACACAAAACTGCAAGGTTAGGTTCTGTAGGGTACGGGTAATGTCTGTGGGGTATTGGATCTGTTACAGAACCGGAGGGTAATCTCTGTAGGGTACGGGATGTGCTACAGAACTCACAGAAGTGTAGGGTATTGTGGCATGACCGTCACAGAACTCACAGAAGTGTTGGGGTATTGTATACAGACCAAGA